ATTACATAATGACAGTAAAAGTTTTCCCTTTTCTTATTGTTTCCCACTAACTATACCACTACGCTCTTTCTTAGTTTGTCATTTTCTGTACGAAGAAGCTAAATCTTTCTCAATAGAGGAGAGAACTGATTAATAAACCATTTTTTATGAATCTTTGGCATTCAACCTGCATATTATGCATTGGAAAATCATTTAAAAAAAGACTGAAGAAGAATTATTTTGGTGTTACTAACTGGATACTTATTCTATAACAGGTTACGATTATTGTTATCTTTATTGAATCATAAACTGCTTACAATTGCAATTCTAGCATTTTTGTTTGTAAGTTTTATTTTGTTTTTGACTCTCCCTCTCTCTTTCTTTGTTTTTTTTTTTTTTTTTTTTTATTACTTGTAAGAAAATAAATTGAAATTTTAGATTTTATTTTTCCAGAATGTTCAAGTCGAATGTTGATGGTATTATTGGCTTAAGATTATCCTCTTGAGATTTGAAAGATTTTGCCTAAACTCATTTTGAATTAGAAAAAAAATGAGCATTTGATGAAATCAAGATTTATTTGTTAGCTTAGTTTCAAGTAGTTGCCTCTTTCTAACAACGAGACCAACATTCACTCACTCAAAGTTAAGTGAACTAAATTGCAGCCTATTATATAGCAAGAAATTTTGTCTGGCAGTTTTTAACTGTCTACCTACTACCCCATCTTCTTCTATCTACATCCTAGATTAGTTGGATGCATATCTGGATCAAAAATCATATCACTGACCGAATTCAGAAATAAGGGATAGTCAGTGGGTTGGTGGGGGCAATGGATTGCCAATGATTGGTTCAAATTACATATGCTGATTATTACAAGGAGGTGCTGAAAACAGCTGTTGGGTTCAAAGTAGGGCTCCACATGGGTACATGCCTACTTCACCACCACCAATAAAACCTTAAGGGCCTTGTGTGTGTATGTGTGTGTGATCTATAAATATGGGACATTGAAAATTCAAAGCATAATCTCTGATGAAATTAATACTTTATGTGTTATGCTTGGTTTATGGTATTATCTTTAATTTCTAGAACCTTCATTTCCCTTACACTACCACTACTTCTTGTTCCTTTTCATCAATTTGATTTTGACACTCATCAAAGGTCCCTTTTTACTTAAGTCTGTCTTCAGCTATAAAGCTTGTTAAGCATGAAATTGGGTTTCTGTGATGAACTTTGAGTTAGAATGTGTAAGTAGAAACATCCTTCTAGCACAAAAATTCCCCATCCTCATTCCCCATGATGTTACTTATTTATGCCTCTAACATTTTTTTTACCTTCTCTTCAACTGATATTCATTTGTTTTGTTAAATAAAAAATTTTCCTCTGTGCTTATGCATTTATTGAAGAGACTCATTGTTATCCAAGGTTGACATTTGACATGCCCAATCCTACTTACCTTGTCTGCTCTTCACTCTAATATATTATGATTTCTTGTATAGTTTATTGCATCCTAACAACTGACAGAATGCAGATATTTTACACTATCACTATTAAGTGTGACAAAAATTTAAAGAAGTTTCACTTAATTTTCTTCTGTACAGTTGACAAGTTTATGACTGAATTTCACACATTAAAACTATTTTCCACTGTTGCCCATACAATAAATAAAATATTACAAGCATCCAAACCTGATAAAAGTACACCCAGGCACATGTGGGGACAATTTATTAGTATAAGGGGTGTTGTTACAGACTTTTAGTAGTCAGTGGGTTACTATTTAATATTAATCAAAAACTTAATTTTTTATGCATTTGCATTGTGAAACACTCAACCCTCTATTGAAAGAGGCTCCTGGAACAGATTTTATGAATCATATTAAAAAATTGGTTTTGTTCTAATTATTAAAGTTTAACAATACTGACCAAACCTATAAAATAAAAATATATTACTTAAGAATTCTGCATAATGTTTTTGAAGAGCCTCTTAAAATTATTTGAACTGGCAATGGGGAAAAATTTTATTCAGCAACAATTTGCAATTTACAGTTTATTTGTAATTGATAGTAATCAATTAAAAACTATTTGCTCTAAGGTCTTGAAAAAGGTTAAGTACTTTACAAAATGTTTTCATTTTGTTAGATAAATGTGAAAGAAGTCTACTATCTGTAAAAATAAGTTTACCACCACTTTATAAATTTCCATTTTTAACAAGATTCATTAACTGCGCTTGCTTGTAATTTATTTGCTACAAGGAGATGTTGAAACCTTTTTGCCTCAACCCACTTCCCCAGATTTGACTAAATGACCAACTATCAAACAGTTATTTTATTTATTTTTTTTATTTTTAATCTCTTCTTGGTTGGGCCAATGACTTTTCAGCACCCCCATGTAAATTTGTATGTAGTTTCTCTGACCAGATAATATTTACAAGTGATTAGTCATAACACAAAAATTAAGAAATGTTGTTTGGATCCCCAAAGCAAGAGAAATCTCCTTCCATTTATATTTGTAGCATCTGTAGTATTCATCGGGTATGATTGTCAACACTAAATTTGGCTGTAAAACTTTTTACTTAAAAAAAAAAAAAAAAAAAAAAGATGGATATGCTTTATGGTGAAAATATTAAATTGCCCCCAAACAACCAAACTGCAAAGGACATAGTTACATTTATTTATATGAACTTTTCCTTTGTGTTTGAAATTCATAATGCCTAGATTGTTAATTTTCTGATGATCAGCAGGTGGTCTGGCATTGATCTTATCAGATTTTCTCTTGATATTGATCAACTTAATGTATCCTTCAGAAAATTTTGTCTAAGCCAATAAAGAAATAATGTGGTTTTACAGTAGATGCATCAATATTTGCACCTGTGAAAGCAATCTGCTGGGCTTTTGAGAGAGAGAGAGAGAGAGAAAAAAAAAAGAAAGAAGAGTATATTGATGTTGCTCTGTGAGGAATTGGAATTATTAGAATGACTCCAAACTTTTTCAAAACAGAAGCAAACTTTCTGATTACTCTTTTTGTGGAGTTAGAAGAATGAATGAATAAATGTCACTTAATAAATGCTTGAAATATCACTAGTTTTTCAGAGATAACAAATTCTAACAAACGTATAACTTTGGACAACCTGAGTTTTTAGTTTCCTTTATTCAAGAGACTACCATTTCTTATGCCGTGTGTACATACATGCTTCTATTATCTAATTTTTTTTGTTTTCTGTCTATATCCTAAGAAAAGAATGCAAATTTATATATATGTATATGTTGCTTGTTATGGATAGACAAACTGAGGTCTTTGTATATTCTATTTGATCATTAGTGCAACTGTGTATTCAGATAAGTATATTTCTTTGTCAAGTGTGTGTGTGTGTGTGTACACACACATACATATATATCTATATATTGTTATCCACAAACAGTTTCACTGTATCACAGCTCATCAGTGTGGCTAGACGTCTGGTTGCCTCTAGCTAGGATTGAAACCCAACTGAATTGGTGTCAGTCAGGGATTCTACCCCTAAGCTGTTGGCACATGGCAGGGATGGAGCTGAATTTAAGCGTATTTATTTTTAGATAAACACATGTGACTGAGAGAACTCAATTCGCTTTACCGAGGAGTCTTGCATTATTAGCCATAATAGCCACTGTTTACAAACTCACAATTCCTCCCCAGAGAGTTCAACTGAAATAAATTTTTCAGGAGCATACACACACCCTCTGTGATGTGTCAGTATAGTACTTACCTTTACTCTCTCTCTCTCTCTCTCTCTCTCTCTCTCTCTATATATATATATATATATATATATATATATATATATATATATATATACTGCACTTTGTTGATATGCTATTTTCCTGATGAAATGAAAATATTTAATGCTAACCAAATTGAGGAAAGTGATCAGACTAATTTTTGGAATTGTTTAACTCACCAAATTACTGTTGTGTCATGCATAAAGTTGTTTGGTTTTCATTTTTATTTTACTCTGTAAGGTCTCTTTTAATTTAATAATAATTTAATTTTAAAATAAATAAAGAGGCAAGCAGCTAGGTTGTTCCCAAACAAGATACTCAAAATGCATTTCAAAAATGTTTAATCTTGGAAAAATTGAATAACATGAGAAATTGCTATTTGATTCTTAATTCACTAAATCTGATTGCTTTTTCTATTTTTTTCTCTCTCTCCACAACAAAAAAGGTTAACTAATAGAAATTTTTTTTTGTTAATTTTTCTGTTGTTTCTCCTGGCAAATGTGATGTCATTGCTTTTCATGTACAAATTACTCCATTATTGCCATCTGCTCTGCCACAACTTTCTATGATCTCATTGTGTTCATCAAAATAGTTGTCTTAATTAAGCTGCTTGCTTAAATCCACAGCCTGTAGAATTTCATTAGAAATGATGCCACCAGAAGTGCATTGTCCAACAGTTTCATTAGCCAATCATTTTTACTTTCTTTAAAAGTTTAATTCCTAAAAGTTCTCTTGAGAATGAATGAAAACATTTTCAGTTGCAATAAACTTCTGTAGAGAAACTAGGTTATCAAAACTTTCTATATGACGACAACATAGAATTTTAAAAGATTAGTGATTGTTTCATATTAAACACTGACTCCTCAAAAAAAATTTATATCCCACTCTATCTGCCTATCTGCAACAAGGGTCTGTTCTGTCAATTAAATATTTATACTTGAATTTCCTAAAACAGAATTTTAAGTTTTAAAAATATTATTTTTTCTTTTCTTTATACTTATAAAATATATATCATTATAAGGTAGTTCTAAAAAGTTCTCAACTTAACCCACTTCTCAAAATTTAACCAAATAACCAAACATCATTTTTTCTTTTTTTTTTTGTAATGGTTACTTGGTCAGAAGCTGAGAACTTTTCAGAGAACTCTTATTTATGTGACTGTAAAAATTACATGCCTTTTTAAGTGTATTTATCTAAAATTGACCAGAATGCATAATTGTTGAGTCCTAAAATAGGTGAAAAATACATAAAAATTTCTTTTTCAAAAATACTGTGAATGCTTTATCTTAATTATACAATTGGTAATGTATAAGCAAAAATTTCTAAGACTATTTCAATCAAAATTAATCTGCTCTTTGGAATTTTATACAACTTCTTTTTGGTTTAAAATGTGTAAAATTGCTGTCAGATTTCTAGTTTTTCCTTTTATTAATTTTTTAAATGAATTCAGTTATTAAAATTAAACCATTCCTGCTTTTTATGGTATAGTATTAAATAATATTCTCAGTCAATAAATTTTGTTATTTACATACCATAATGTTTATTTTCACAACTTTCATAGATTCAAGTTGATTGCTACTGACAGTCTGTAGAATATTAACAATTGTCTTAGGCATTTTTCCAACATCTTGTTCTTTGTTTTAAATGGCAAACTTGGATCTTTATTAAATGAAAAATTCAACCAGGAATGACATTTTCAATAAGTTCTTTATTTGCCTTCCATCAGCATGGCTGATGTTAACCTCCAGGAGAGTGGCTTCTTGGGCTTCCACTTCTTGGTTTTCCACTTTTATTGTTCTCTCTCCTTAATAATGTTTTCTTTTCCATATTCTTTCACACTTAGTAACCCCTTGCATCTTAATGACTTTATTGCTTTGCTTGGTGTGAAATGATTAAAAAATTGCTAGGAAAGCTGGTCCAATATGTTGTGCAAAACAATTGTTCTTGCCAGTCTTGTTCATAAGTCTACCATTCATCCATACATTGAATATTGCTGTCATATCTGATCTGATCTGATGCTTTTGCTATGTATTTAGAGATTCTTGACAAAATCAAAAGAAGAATCTGTAATGTTATTGGTTCTGGCCTTGCATCTCACCTTCAGTCACTTTCCTACTGCTGTAACATAGTTTCCCTTTTCTATAAATATTTTCATAATAATTTTTTCTGATTAGCTTTCCTTTTTTTTGGTACCTTTTTATGAAATTAAGTACTAGATTAGCAGTTAGGTCTCATCATTTTACAGTTGAGCTGACTAGATGTAACCAGAAGTTCTATGCTAGCAGTTTTTTCTCTCACACTTCTTTCTTGTGAAACTCTGTTCCAGCTTCTACTTCCCAATCTACTTTGATCTCAAAAATTTAAATGCAATGCAAATCATGATCTTATGTCTCCTTAATTTCTGTTCTTTTATTGTCCTCATTCCTTCAGGTTTTTTTCTTAGATTCTTTCATGCTCAGTAACCCATTGGATATTAGTAAATTTATTGCCTGGTTTGGGGTTCTTAGTGGTGCCAAGCTTGTGTTCATCAATTGATGCATTTATGAGAGGGAGTACTGAAAAGTTATTGGCCCAACATCTGACCAAACATCAGAATTTTGTGGAGAATCCCTTCATGGTTAGGCTGACTACTCAGGGCCCTCCCAGACTAACCAGTCAAATTTGTTAATGCCCTTTATTAATCTCAAATGCTTAGACATGATTAACTTTGCTTTTATTTATGTGTAATCAATTTAAGAAGAATAATTCTAAGTTGTGTTAATAAGATGATGATGACTTTAAGACTTAAAGATTATTTATAATATAAATTTGTTTTAAGTTAGTTTATTTACACACCAAATAAAAACATAATTTCAGTCAAAATTCTTGTCTGTAACAAGGTTAAATTGTTTAGTGTGGTATTTTTAGCTCTTTGGTCACAAGAATTGAAAAGTTGACGGTACCTAAACAACATTTTGGGTCCTACTTCAAGTAGGTAGAGAATAATATTCCTTCTTTAATGGATAAAATATTAAGGCTTATTATTATTTTGGGACAAACCTCTTTCTTCATATGCAATACTGATCTTGCAAAATCCTTGATAACCAAGTTTAGAAATCTCATTATGCTTGATATTGAATTTCTTTAGAAGTGATTTTTTTTTTTTAGTTCCAAATAACTTAATCTTAAATCTAACTTATATTTTCTTAGAAGATTTTAATTACTCAGTGACCTTCCATTTTTTACTTATCCAAAATCTAAGTTGTGGCTGTCTGAATGAATACTTTTATTTCTTTCAGATCCAACCTCTGAAGACCGGTATCATTGTATCCATGCTGCTGGAGTACATACTGTTGCATTGCCATGGTTGGCACATTATGAAAAATTTTGTGCAGAAGGTTAGTTACTGTGTTGTTTTGTTTTGTTTGTTTTTTGTTGTTATTTTTTGTTTTTTTATCTCAGCATGCATCTCTCTGCTTGATAATGTTTAGCAGAAATTGAATTACTTTTTTGTCCTGTTTTAATTATAATTAAAGACAAGAAAAGTATTAACCTGAGATAATGAATCTCTCATATATTTATTCCAAAATCAGGGAAAAATTAGACAATAATTTCCCTCCATCTGAATAACATCTTTAAACAATAATTAAATTGATTTGATTGAGGAAAGAAAGTAAATACACAGAAAATAAAATTATAACACCCTGAAGGATGATTACTGTTTTGACATGCACACAGCATGTGCATGCTAATGGAGAGTGGATATTCTGATAAAATTTTCATGTTAGTGATGTGTTAAAATGTGGTGAAATGGCTTAGTGCAAGTAACATACCATGGAGACAAGTTTATACTTCATTTGTTCAATTAGAGCTACTTTAGAGAGGTTGGATTTGAAACTGGATGATCATTTTAGAAAATGCTTATATATAAGTCCTAGAAAGATGCAACAGTCAAAGCATCAAATTGCTGACCATTAAACACCATATTCAATAGTCAGGATATGTAGTAAGAATGGAAGAGTCAAGGTTTCCATGTCAAGTTTTATTCAGTGAGTTCACTTCAGGGAAAAGACCATGGAGTTGCCCTCTTTGAAGATACAAGAACCAACTGAAAACAACACTGAAAACCTCTGGTCTTGAGCCTAAGTTGTTTGAAGCACAAAACTATACCAACTTGTGATTTTCCATCACCATCAGAACCAAAACCTTCAAAGTCACCAGAAGAGAAAAGAAAGAAGTCAAACAACAAAAGAGAATGGCTCAACAAAATCAGGATTGCAAAGGAAATATTTATCGCAGATTACTTCCACAACGAAGAGAACAAATCACTAAGTTCGGACTCGAATATCAGGAGCAGAAAGAAAGGATGAAATCTTGACTCACAAGTACTATGTCACAAATCACAATGCACGTAACCAGCCAGAAAAATAACTCACTTCCTGACGAACGTGGTAACCAAAATACACAAATTTTCTCACTTTCCTCCCGATTCGAGAACACCAACTGCTTTTATCGGCCAAGCAATATTTCGTCTTCGGCAGTTCATGCAGAATACGTGCACTTTTTTTTTTTTTTTTTTTTGGCAAGTAACTTTTTTTTTTTTTCCACATTTTCCATCGTAGGATACATGTGACATGCCATCACTTGGTTTGACAAGGTAATTCACCGTTTTCTTCACTATACTCCCCCCTGATCTCATTATCACAAATCAAACAGCTTGGAATGACTCTCTTTATCTTGGCGCTTCGTTGTAATGGAACTCTATTACATGTGTTAGAGAGTTGTCCCCTGAGGAGTCATCAGGTGTATCTCAAGTTCCTGGAATCTCTGCATCTGTGGAAGCATCAGATTCACAGATCTCAATTATCCTATCACTTTCAGACAATGAATCATCGGATTTGCTCCTTGACTCTGATACTTGAATGAGCAAAGATCATGCCGAGGCATCCCATCAACTATTATTGTTTGTGGACTTACAGTGTCTGTCACACAACCCACTTGATACCTGGCAGTACACTGGCCATGGGGAGCTTTCACCCACACTCTGTTCCTAACTTTGTATATACCATGATTCTTACAACGAACAGGTAGTAATGCTATAGTAATTCCCTTTACTTTCAGTTGGTAATGGTGAATCATATTGGCAGGCTCATTAGTGGACAATATGTCCTCCTTCGGCGTAATATTATATCACTACACTGCCTCCATTATCAAACACTGCTTTCTTGCTGCAATTCTCTTTATGCTCCAGTGAGATCTTTCCACTATACTGTTTCCTGCAAGAACATATACACAATGAAAATGAAGTTGGACTCCCCAGTCATCCAAGAAATCTTTAAAGCACTTACTGCAAAATGCAGTGTCATTGTCAGTTAGGATTTCTGATGGCGGGCCTTGTTCAAAAAAAATACTTTCCAACTGTTGGATGACTCTTCTTGAGTCTTGTTGAAGCAGGTGTCGCCATATCACAAAATCAATTTGTACCGCCATCAATCAACATAAGGTAGTGTTGCCCAGAGTAATGTGTAATATCCATTCCCAAGCGGGTCCTTGTATGTTATAGGATAAATTCGTCTCACAAAATACAGTGTTTGCCTGATGCCAGGATGTCCACTCTGGCAATGTATGGCACTTATCTGATCAGGAGAGATTTCGTTCACCATGGAAGTGCATATTGGGTGTGTTGGCTTGATTTCCTTCTTGATCACATCATACCATTGTTGTGGTACTCTTGTGTGCTTATCCACTCGATTCTCACTTGACGTTACTAAACTTATCGTAATCAATAAGTTATACTCTTGGATCAGCTTTTTAAGAGTACTCAAATGCCTCTGGATGAGTTTGTATTCTGGCTTTGCCAGTGAGCATGTTTTATATTCACCGGTGCACACATTCGGAGTCTGAAGAGGTGTAGCTCCATTGCACCCTACTGTAGTGCTAAATTGACACCCTTCAGAATAGCATCCAATTCTGATAAATTGATATGTTGTGCATCCTTCACAGGCTGCAGCCAACAAGTCTACAATGCTTCTGCCAACCTCCAATAAAACCCCTGTGGCGAGAGAACTTGCATCAACCCACACCTCATAACTGTGTCCACTTGTGCACCACTTACCATGTGCAGACTCATTCTGGCATATTCTTTCCACTATGTCCTCAATCATGTTCTTAAGGTCTGTCAGTTCGTCATCTGAGCCAGACATGATCAATACTGTTCTGCATTTAACAAATGAAGCAGCAACACAAAGCCAACCACACAGGAACAGGACCCACCAGTTTTCCACACCACGAGATGTTATGTCGCATCAGGACCTCAGGAACTGATAGAATGTCATTTTCATGTTTCGACTTAAGCGTGTTGTTATCCTGCTTGACATGCAAACCCAGCACATGTGTGCCATCCTGTAACTGCTTCGGATCCTTGCAGGTCAAACCAAACGCAGCCAAGTGCTCTTTCATACAAGCTGCTGAAATCATGCTCTCATCAACATAAATATCATCAATATATTATGAGTTTGCCCATCAAACTGACTTGTCTTTCGATAACACGGCATCCACAATGGGCTTCATTATGGCTGGTGCAACATTCAACCCAAAACCCATTTGTGTCAAGCAATATCTTCACCCCTTGAAGATTACAGTTTGAAAGGACCAAAGTGAATTATGGATATGCACTTGTTGAGGGGCCTGCTGAAGGTCAAGGATAGCAACATCCAGTCCTTTTTTACGCCACTCCCTCAGTTTCTGTGCACAGATGTCAGCATTGGCTGTGTGTGCGTCTAGACACTTATTCAGCTCTCGATAGTCTAATACTGGCTGCACTTTATTTTTGTTTTTCTGCACCATTGCCATCAATGGAATTAAACCTTTTAGAGGACCAAGTTCCTTTTCAGGATAAGGCTGCAACCAACCATTATCAAGCCAGGTCTATCAAGCTCATGGTCATATTCCTGCTTGACTCCTGTTGGTATTGGGTACTCTGGCATCCAATTTCGCAAACTCACTAGTGATCAACCATCAGACCACTTCCATAATGCAACCCATATCTTCTGGTTTGCGCTGGTAAGCCTGCTATGAACACACTTGCTAACCCTTGCTCTGATAGCTTCTTCAAGTCAGCTAGAAACACATTGACAGATTCATCCGGTTGCAGTCAGCGTTCTACAACCTGCTCGTGAACCAAGAAATGATCCGGTGCAAAGGCAATCTGCACGGCTCGTTTTATATGCTTGACATCTGATTTTTTAACTGCTGGTAAACAGCAAATGCACCGTCCATCAACCTCAGAAGAAAAATATGTTCAACCTTGTTAATTCCACACAGGTCACAAACAAGTTCTGCCTTCTCAATCCATTCAGTAACTGCTTTTCCAGTCACTGAACCATCAAACTCTGGTATCAACTTGACATCAAATGTCCTGTCCGTTATACTGTTGAAATAGGATTGCAAAGGAAATGTTTGTCACAGATTACTTCCACAATGAAGAGAACAAATTACTGTAAGTTCAGACTCAAATATCAGGGGCAGAAAGAAAGGCCGAAATCTCTATTCACAGGTACTATGTCGCAAATCACAATGCATGTAACCAGTCAGAAAAATAATCCACTCCCTGACGAACGCAATAACCAAAATACACAAGTTTTCTCACATCCCGATTTGAGAACGCCAACTGCTTTTATCGGCTGAGTATTTTTTCCATTCATCAGCAACTGGAAGAGGATGCCTAATATTAACATATCAAAATACTTTTATGGCGACACCTGTGACTGACTTGTTTCTAATTTAAATATTCCCTCTTCAGCACATCATGCAGAATATGTGCTCTTTTTTTTTCTTTTTTTTTTTTTTTTGGCAAGTAACTTTCTTTTTTGCCACATTTTCCGTCATAGAATACACGCGACATGCTGTCACTTGGTTTGACAAGTTAATTCACCGTTTTCTTCGCTATACTTATTATAATATTATAAGTAAATACAGCATGATTAACACCTGCTGCTTCATGTGATTTGCTTCTAATTTACTAATTTGACTATGTAAAAAATGTTTTTTGAAAGAAGAAATATATTTCTTGAGTAAATTGAAACATATTCTGGGTGTTGCAATTTTACTTTTCGTGTGTGTGTGTGTGTGTACAACTTGGCAATTGACTCATGTAACATATACCTTTATTTTTTTTTAACATGAACTAATCAACATTGGATTTAGCAATTCTATAAAGTCATTAATTTTTCAGTATTCAAATTCTTCACACTAAAGCTAAATGAAGGAATTTAATAAAGGATTTATAAAATTACAATGACATATCCTAATGTTAGGAAGAAAATATTTAGATAGAATTAATAGCTGTTTGGATAATGAGATTCGGGAAATGTCAGTTTGACAGAGAATGTCAGTTTTA